GTGACTGGCTTACAAGCTTTCAAGAGGGAGCCTAGATCCAGAGGGCATGGAGGAAGGTAGACTCTCCACTGAGTAGTATCCAATCTGTCTGGGTGAGGCTGATGAAAGAAGTTGAGGATAGGTCTCTTGTGGTACAATAGTGAATAATTGCTATCAGAACTGACTGTGAGGGTTGGAAATGTAAAGGGAGACATTTTGTAGCAAAAGGAGGGGAGTGATTGACTTTGCAGTCCAGGAGTGTAGGTCCTTGGCACCATCAAAGGAGAAGAGGGGAGAGCGGGGCCCTGCCCAGAGAACACAGTGACCCAGAGATGGTGGCAGAGACGATGACGTGGAGCAGTTGGGCACTCCAGAGAGGGTGAAGGGCTGTGTGCTGACCACCGGGGGTGGGGGGGGGTGGGGGCAGGCTTGCAGGGTATACCCTTTGGTTGGTTGATGATGCATGGAGGGAATTGTGACCATGGTGATGAAAAGATATACAACAGGATGAATGTAAAGCTAATGTTCTCCTATGTAAACTATCACAGAATTCACAATTAAACATTAAAAATAAAGTATGGAAACCTCATCTTCCATAAATGTACTCTCTTCCCTGATACCAGAGAACTAACATGATGGCTTCACCTTCAGTATGTCATGAGCAGAGGTAAAACCGCAAGAAACATCTAATGTTCAAAGCACATAATATATTTTTCATGTGCTCTTGTAGCTCCCAGGATATCATTGAATAAAATTTAAAATTAGAGAAAATAGGACTGTCTTTGGGATCAGCAGTATAGAGAAAATATTCCACACTATACCTAACCTTCAAGGATACAGTGTTAGAGTATGTGGTTGTTGCTGTTTAGTGCGATCGAGTTTGTTCCGATCCATAACATCCCTGTATAGGGTTTCTGGGGAATGGTTCGGGAGCTTGAAACACTGACCTTGCAGTTCGAACTGACTTTTCAGATGAGCGCATTAACTTACAATGCCAATCAAGACTCCAGAAAAGGGCAGAATCTCTCAATCTTCCTATAAAGGAAGAAGAAAAACAGAGAAAACGGTTTTGGTCCTTGGGAGGGGCCCTGTTTTTAAATGCTGTGGAGTTGTGTCCAAATCATTGTTGTTGCTGTTGTTATTAAGTGCTGTCAAGTCAGTTCTGACTCATAGCAACCCTGTATAGGGCTTTCAAAGAATGGCTGGTGAGTTTGAACCTTGTGATTCAAACCAACCCTATGGTCCAATGCTTGTTGTTATGTGCCATCAAGTTGCTCCGACTTATAGCCACCTTGCATAGGATTTACGAGGAGCAGCTGGTGGGTTTGAACTGCCAACCTTTCAATTAATGCTTATCCTTAAGTATTACTTCTCAAACAATCTGGCAGTTCTTCAAAAGGTTAAACACAGAGTTACCAGAATTCCTTCTGGTATATTTTCTATAGAAATGAAAACATATGTCCACACAACTTGTACATACAATGTCAATGGTGGTGTGAGGTGGATTTGGTTCTGATTCATAGCGACCCTGCATAGGGTTTCCAAGGCTGTAAATCTTTACTGGAGCAGAAAGCCTCATCTTTCTCCCATGGAACAGCTGGTAGTTTCGAATTGCTGACTGTGAGATTAGCATCCCGACTCGTAATCACTACATTACCAGAGCTCCTTACATGCTGATTATTCAAAATAACTAAAAAGTGGGAACAACTCAAATGTCTGTCAACTGATAAGTAGATAAATGGAATGTGGTATATACAATAAAATATATATACTCAAAATACAATATTGAGCATAAGTAGGAATAAATATTGATACATGCTACATGAATGACCCTTGAAAACATTATGTTCCATGGCTCTGACTCACAGTGACCTGATATAGGGTTTCAAGGCTGTACACCTTTATGGGAGCAGAAAGTTCCATCTCTCTCCTCCAGAGAGCCTGTGGGTTTGAATTGCTGACCTTGAGGTTTGCAGCCCAACTTGCAACCCACTATGCTACCAGGGATTCTGGTATGATATGTAGGTAAAAAAATTTTTTTTTAATTGTAACAATTTTTTTTTTTTCCCTATTCTGTTTTGTTGGGAAGGATTTACACAGAAATACTTAGGAATATATAATCATTTAAATAACCAAAGGGCACATTCTGCAAGCTTGCCTGCTGGCCACAAACACACAGTCTTTCTCTTTCCATGAGTCTAGAGTCTTCAGTTGCTCTATCTCTCCATGTCCTCATTTCTGCCTCCATCTCTGGTGTCACTACTTCTCTGGATAGGGTCCCACATTCCGCTTGGCTTGGGAGCAAGCTACTGAGGCTAGGTCAAATGAGTACTATCTACAAGTCTGGGTGTTCTTGTGCATCTCCCCTTAGTTCATATCAGCTGAACACTTCAATCTTAGCTCTAGCCCTCTGTATCTATGTCCTCGTCCATGGACTCAGGAATCCTCGTCCATGGACTCAGGTCTCAACACACGTCCGACCAACCAGCCCTTCCTCTTCTCTCATCTCCAGGTCAACAGGTGTCTATGGAACATGGTCAAACTCAGCCCATATCTTCCACCAACATGGTCAACAGCAGTCTTACATGCCTGCTCATGTTGAGTTTCAGTCTTGGAGGGTGGGTTGTTCTGAAGGGACTTGACTGCTTATTCTGGTAGCACCCCCCACAAACAACTTGCTTGTTCTTGCAGTAGCTAATCAGACTGCCATTTTTGTTTTGGATTTTCTGGCTGGTCTTTCTTTCAAGAAGTATCTTCTGTTCCTCTAGCTATTCCAGGATGGTCTGCTTGTTCTTTCAAGTGTGAATGTCCCACCACACAAGGTTTTGGATGGGGCTCAGGATTCCACTTGAACCTACAAAGACACTACAAAGACTCCACAAGAAGCCTATTTCACTAGGCAAATTCTAGAACTTCTTTCAAGTATTCCAATCAGTTATAGGCTGAAGACGGGCTTACAAGTTTTCTGTATTCATGTTTCCCAATATTCCTAAAAAGCTGTTTGTTTTTTTCTTTTTTAAAAAAGCACTTAAATGACTAATGTTTGCCTGCCTTAGTAGAACCACATGGGCCAGAGATCATGTCTATGTATTCAGTGGGATAGCTAAGAATGAACAGGGACAAGTGAAAGAAGAAATGTATCATGATCCATTTCTCTTCATTCCCCCTCCTCAGGTAAGCAGGGTTGTCAGGACCATATTGTTGTTGTTGTTGTCAAGTGCTGTTCAGTCGATTCTGACCTATAGCGAGCCTGTATAGGGTTTCTGAGGAGCAGCTGGTAAGCTTGAACCACCGACCTTGAGGTTCAAACGGCTTTGCAGTCTGGAGCATTAACCCACAGCACCACATCAGGACCATATATGTTCTGAGAAAACTCTTCTTCCTATTCTCTACATTTAGGTCAACAGGAGAGGTGAATCCATTTACCTTCATAATCGAGCCAACTGGGTGACTGTAGGCATCTGTTCTTCCAGTCACACCCAGAAGACCCCCAATGTGATGCTGTTAGCACACCTGGCACCCACTGCCCAGAAAGATGCAGACCCTATGTATGAAAGTCTCCTAACATCTCCTTTAACAGAAAAACTGGTGCTTACCAGGTGAGTTACAAAAGAATGAGGTGAAGAATCATACACATAATGTATTCCCCCTTCAGAGCTGAAAATGAAAACACTGACAGTTGCTCCAAGGAAACCTTCCATTTGCTGTGATCCATGTTGCAAATGACAAGAGATGTCTCCTTAAAATCAGAGAAAGCATTTATGACAAACTGGGGGGTCAAATAGGTGGTTAATTTTTTAAAATTAAATATAAATAACAGGAAGTGAAGTTTCATAATAAACATGCCTCTTTGCCCCTTCAATTCCCACCTTTTTTTGGAATTAGCTCTGATTTTATCTTACTCACTAACTAATTTACAATATAAAAACAAATGTTGCTGCTATTGATCCCATTCCAACTCATGGCGGCCTCATGCCTGTCAGAGTAGAACTGTGTTGGATAGAGTTTTCAATGGGTGACTATTTGAAAGTAGATCACCAGGTCTTTCTTACAAGAACTTGTGGCATATTCTTGAGCAAATCACTTCCCGAAGTATCAACTTTGTTGTTATTGTTTTGGTGCCACTGAGTCAGTTCTGACTCGTGGTGGTGGTGGTGGTGGTGTGCTGTAATTCTTTATGGGAGCAGAAAGTCTCATCTTTCTCCATGGAACAGCTGGTAGTTTCGAACTGCTGACCTTAAGGTTCGCAGCCCGATTCGTAACCACTCTGCTACCAGAGAGTGACAATATATACAATGGAACAAGATGCTGTCCAATCCTGAACCATCTTCTCAATCGTCGTCATGTTTGAGCCCATTGTTGCAACCACTGTCAATCCATCTTGTCGAGGGTCTTCCTCTTTTTTTTAACTGACCCTCTCCTTTACTATGTATGATGTCCTCTCCATGGGCTAGTGCCTCCTGATGTTGTTGTTGTTGTTGTTAGGTGCCATCGAGTTGGTACCGACTCATAGTGACCTTATGCACAGCAGAACGAAACACTTCCTGATCCTGACCAATCTTGATAGCATGTCCTAAATGGGGCAATGTCCCATGGTAAATAATTGCTGTATTCATTTCCTATGTCTGCATAAGAAAATATGACAAATAGAACGTTATTATTGCATAGCAAGTCTAAGATCAGAATGTACAGCTGTGTTGATTTCTTCTAAGGCTCTGAGGGTTCCATATCCCTCTCCCTGTTACAGGTAGCTCCAAGTTGTCCCTTCACTTGCAACTATAGCACAAGGCATTTGAAAAGGCCCCCAATGAGAAGACACTCAACGAAAAAGAGGAAGAGAGGAGAACTGGGCAGTGTGTCTTTCTGTTGTGTCACTATGAGTCTAAACTGATTCCATGGCACCTAACTAACAACAACAATATAATCTAATCAGATAAGATTAGACCTCTCCCTACTTCAGTATGATCTCACTTTAACCTAACTGATAACATTTTCAAATACCTATTTCTGGAATTTCTGGGGCAAGACGGCAGAGTAGGCAGATGCACTGAGCAGCAAAGACATGAAAGATCAAGTGAAACCAAGACACATGCTGATCCTGGAATCCTGAGCTTCCGAAGATAGCACAACTAGAACTGAAGAAGTGGAATAGGAGCACTGAGGGGGAATAAAATCAGGTGGGCTGTAGATTGGCCTGAAGCAGTGTGACTATCTTGAACTTTTAGGAGTGGCTGTTGATACAGCAGTATTCAGACACAGGATGAAGTTGGAGGTTGGTGACAAGGGGGCTCAGTTCCCCCTTGTTCCTGTGCCCTCGTGGTAGCCAGGGGCATGGTCAGCCCCAGACCTCACCAACCCAGCGATCATTGTCACCTCCTCCTGAGCAACCTCAGCTGTACCTGAGCTTGGGCTTCAGACATACCACCCCTGGAGGTGAGTGAAACCATCTTGAACTATACTACACAAACAGCAAACAGGAAACTGCATTCTTACTTTCAGTTTCTACCACTTTGAGAGGTGATGAGTGTTGGAGAACACACCAACAAACACCCATGAATTAAATATAAATACAACATCACAATGTCTCAGAGATAACAGACCATTTCTAGTTACATAAAGAAACAAAACAGAGTGCCTCAAACAAGAGACTAAAATACAGCATTAGAAAATAAAACAGCAGACAAGGTATTGAAACTATATGATAAGGAATTTACCAAGCATGTTAAGTACCTTAAATGGATTGAGAGACTGAGAAAATAGATGAATCAAGGAAAACATAGACAAAACTTTAGAAGAATTCAGGAAACAAACCAACAAAACAAATGAATAATGGGAAACCATACAAAAACAGCCACTAGAAAATCAGAAGATTAATACTAAGACTTCAGAAATAAGTAATACATTGGAAGGACAAAGAAGTAGAATTGAATCAATGTAATGTTAAATTACTGAGCTTTAAGACAAATCTCTCAATATTCATCTGCTAGAGCAGAGAACCAAGGGCCATTTGGATATTTATAACATCATTTGCAAGCCATACAAAATTATCAACTTAAAAATTAGCCTGCTAAATAAAAAGAAACAAACAAACAAAATTAGCCTTCTATATTTGATTATGTATTTAATTAACTCAACCCTAATGTGATGGCTGGAACTGCAGTTGCTTTGGCAGGGACAGACCAAATGATTTCATGGGCTTTATATGGCCCGCAGGCCAGATGTTCCCCACCCCTCTGATAATAGGAACAGTCAGAAAAGCTAGTTAAAAAAAAAAAAAAAATTATGGACACTATCAAGAGGACTAACTTATATTTTGATTGGAATTCTAAAACAGGAAGAGACAGAAGAAAAAAACAGAAAATTGTGGAACAGGTGCTAGGAAAAAACTTCCTTAGCATTATTAAAGATTAAAGGAGTTGAATAAACTCCAAACAGGATAGACCTGCAAAGAAAACCACCAACACATATTATAATCAAAATTTCAAAACCAAAGACAAGGAAAAATCCTGAAAGTGGCTCAGGAGAAACAAACAGTTACCTGCAAAGGAGAACTAATAAGACTAAGCTCTGATTTCTCAGCAGAAAATGTGCAGGCAAGAAGACAGTGGATAGTATATATAAAACTCTGGAAAAAAAAAAAAGCCAACCAAGAATCTTATACCCAACAAAACTGTTCATCAAATATGATAGTGAAATTAGGACATTGTCAGATAAACAGAAACTAAAAGAATTTGTAAAAATCAAACCAACCTTTCAAAATATACTAAAAGGAGTTCTTTGGTCAGAGAACCAACAACCTAAACATAACATACATGATAATATCATCCATAACTCAATCCAGATATTGTTGTTAAGTGCTGTGGAGTGGGTTCCAACTCATAGTGACCCTGTATAGGGTTTCTGAGGAGTTGCTGGTGGAATTGAACTTCCAATCTTGTAGTTCACACTGACATTGCAGTCAAGTGCTTAGCCTATAGCACCAGTCCAGGACTCCCAACCCAGATACAGAAGTATTTAAAGTAAAACAAACCTATAAGACTGAAAATAGGGAACCAATGATATTAATTTATAATGAAAACAACTACAAAACCAAAAGAGGGAAAGAGTAGTTACAAAACATCCAAATGGTGAGTAAATCAAGAAGATTTCAAGATAATCTGGCAAAGAAATCAATAAATTAATGGAAACCTCAAAGAAAATTAATACATCTTCACATCAAATCAAGAAAAGGAAAAATCATGAGGATTTAGTAAACATAAAGACAATGTTGTTGCTCTGTGCCGTGGAGTCGGTTCCGACTCATAGCTACCCTATACAGGCTGTAAATCTTTGCGGGAGCAGAAAGCCTCATCTTTCTCCTGCAGAACAACTGGTAGTTTCGAACTGCTGACCGTGAGATTAGCAGCCCGATTCGTAACCACTGCGCTACCAGAGCTTCTTATTAAGACAACAGCAATGAAGAAATTGACAAGAAAATACACAAAGTGAATTCAGCACAGAAAATTATTTAGAACAAAGAAACCGGCAGCACCACAAATAAATGCACAGCAAAAAGATTGCAATCAATTCATAACCAATAGATAATTATCCATCCCTTATCTGTCAGTTTGCTGTACTGTGTTGGCTTATGAGTTGCTGTGAGTCTGGAAGCTATGCCAAAGGTATTTTAAAAACCAGCAGGGGTCATCCATGGTGACAGGTTTCAGCTGAGCTTCCAAAGAAAGACAGACTAGGAAGAAGGAGAAACAGACTACTTCCAAATATTTAGTCACCGAAAATCTTATGAATAGCAGTGGAACACTGCCAGCACCAGAATGCTAAGGTACAGCTGATACAAACCATGGTACTTTGAAAGTATCATAGACTTCTAAAAGAACAAACCGATCTGTGTTGGAAAAAGTACAGCTAGAACGCTTCTTGGAAGCCAAGATGGCCAGACTTCATCTCTCATACTTTGGACATAATCAGGAGGTACCAGTCCCTGGAGAAAGAAAGTGGAGGGTTGGAGAAAAAGAGGAAGACCATCAATGAGATGGATTAGCACAATGGCGGCAGCAATGGGCTCAGGCATAGCAATGATTGTGACAAATATATCATGCTCATGGAAAGGAAGATTTAACATTGTGAAAATGTCAACACTATGCAAAACAATCTGAATCCCAATCCAGATTCCAATATCATCCTTTAAAGAGATGGAAAAAGTGATCACTAACTTTACATGGACAATGAATAAGGAAGGCTGTGGAAGAACTGATGCATTTGAATTACGGTGTTGGAGAAGAATATTAAAAGTACCATGGACTGCCAGAAGAACAAACAAATCTGTGTTGGAAGAAGTAGTTAGAATGCATCTTAGAAATCAGGATGGTAAGACTTTGTCTCTCATACTTGGGACAGGTTATCAGGAGGAGCCAGTCCCTGAAGAAAGACATCATGCTTAGTAAAGTGGAATGTTAGCGAAAAAGACCTCCAATGAAATGAATTGGCACAGTGGCAGCAGCAATGAGCTCAAGTGTAACAATTTTGAGGATGGTGCAGGATTGGGCAGTGTTTCATTCTATTGTTCAGAGGGTCGCTATGAGTCAGAACTGACTTTATGGCACCTAATAACAACAATTTTATATGGAAAGGAAAGAGACCTCGGATAAGCAAAGCATTGCTTAAGAAGAAGAATGAAATTGGAGGCCTCTCACTCCATGCTCTCAAAATCCTACTACACAGCCACAGTGATTAAAACATCCTGGTACTAGTATAACAAAAGATACATAAATCAATGGAACAGAATTTAGAACCAAGAAGTAAATTCACCCACAAAGGGTCAAAACATATTAAATGGGGAAGTGATAGTCTCTTCAACAAATGATGCTGGCAAAACTGGAAATCCATTTACAAAGAAGAATGAAAGAAGACCCATATCTCATACCATATACAAAAACAAACTCAGCGTGGATTAAAGACCTAACTGTAAAACCTAGATCTATAAAGATCACCAGTGATAAATTAGGGGCCCTAATAAAGATTTACACCCTCGGAAACCCTGTACAGGGTCGCTATGGGTCGGACCCGACTCGATGGCACTTAACAACAACAACAACAATATATTGTAAAACATAACTAAAAACACACAAACAATAGAAGACAATATAGATGACTGGGACCTTCTAAAAATTAAACACATATGTGTATCACAAAATTTCACCAAAAGAATTATAAGAGAGCCCACAGACTAGGAAAAGCTCCTTACAACCACATATCAGACAAGGGACGAATCTTGAAAATTTACAGAAAACTACAACATCTCTATGAGAAAAGACAAATGACCTAATTTAAAAATGGACACATAACATGAACAGACACCTCACCATGAAAGACATTCAGGCAGCCAACAAACATATGAAGAAATGTTCATGATCATTAGCCATTAGAGAGATGCAAATCTAAACAACAATGAGATATCATCTCACCCCAGCATTAATAGCAAAGTTCAAATAAACAGAAAACATCAAATGCTGGTGAGGCTGTGGAGAGACTGGGACCCTCCTACATTGCTGGTGGGATAGTAAAATGGTTCAACCATTGTGGAAAATGGTATGGCATTTCCTCAGAAAGTTAGAAATAGAAATACTATATGACCCAGCAATCCCTCTACTTGGTATATACTCACAAGAAATAAGACCCAGGACACGAGTAGATATATGCACACCAATATTCATCGCAGCGCTATTCACAATAGTAAAAAATGAGGATAGCCTAAGTGCCCATCAATGGAAAATTTAATAAACAAACTTTGGTCCATACACACAATGGAATTTTATGCACCATTGAAGAATAATGATGACTCTGTGAAACACCCCATAACATGGATGAAGCTGGAGGGCATTATGCTGAGTGAAACTAGTCAATCACAAAAAAACAAATATTGTATATAAGACCATTATTGTAAAAACTCAAGAAAAGATTTTTCATGCTAAAAGAAACATTCTTTGATGGTTACCAGGGTGGGAGGGAAGGGAGAGTAATTCACTGGCTAGAGGGTACACACATTTTAGCTCTGGTGACAGAGAGACAATATACAAGAAGAGGGGAGTTGGCATAAGAATAATGAATATAGGTGAAGACACAGTACTAAAGGGATGGAGGTAAATAGTGTTGTATATACAACCTTGGAACAACAGTGTTCTGCAGGTAGACATGGACAGATACACAGACTGAACAGGTATGGGAGGAAGACTGGGAGTATATCCATAAATACATAAAGGATATTTTTATATATGTATTTAACTTTGCCGCAAGCATAGCTATAAATGTGGGGAAGTGCTGTTGAGTCAATTCTAACTCATAGTGATCCTGTGTAGACTTTCCAAGGAGTACCTGTTGGGTTTGAATAGCCAACCTTGCAGTTAGCAATTCAGTGCTTATCCTAAAGCACCACACAAAGACTCAAGCAAAATGATGGAAGTTTCTTAGATACTATGAAACAGCTTAAGGCCATGAGTTTCTGGCCCTGGGGGCTCAGGACCATAGTCTCAGGGGACAACATGGCCAATTGGCATAACATAGTTCACAAAGGCAATGTTCTGAATCCTACTTTGGTGAGTAGTGATTGAGATCTTTAAAGCCCAGAGTGACCATCTAATGTGCAACTATTGTTCTCTCTGTGTGCAGAAGAAAGAAGAGTGATGAAAATTGAAGAGGCTTGGAATCAATTAGTCCAATGGACTAATGGAACATGTGAACATCAGTCTCCACAGCTCTAAGACCAGAAGGACTACATGGTGCCTTGCTATCCCTACCAACTGCTCTGAAAGGGATCACATTAGAAGGTCCCAGATAGAATGGGAGAAAATGTGGAATAAAACTCAAAATTATAAAAAGAAAAAAGGCTCAGGATTACTGGTCAGAAAGAAACTTGAGAAATCCGAGACTATGGCCCTTGACCACCCTTCAGATCTGAAACTGAATTCACCCTCGTGGCCCAATTTTCCACCAAGCAATAGCTAGGTAGAGGGGATAACAACACTCATAAGCTATGCTCACCATGCAATGGTCAATCATTCAAAATCAAAAGAGCAACATTTACCTAAGGACAAAGGTGAGAAGGGTTGGAAAGATGGGTGGAATCGAAATAGGTACCACAGGGAGGAAGTGGGACTAATGTTGCATGAAGGGGATTGCATGTAAAACTGATGATCTCATCTGTAAACCTTCACTCAATTCACAATAAAAAAGTTTTTTTTTAAAAAAAGTAGGAGTTCACTGAAGCTCACTACCAGTTGTAGTAGTAGAAGATGACCTTGGACCAGAAACAAAAACAGAAAAAGAAAAAAAGACCAAAAATAGGGAGCCAGAGACACTAGTTGCTACACATAACAAAAACCACAAAGTAAAATGTTGTCGTTGTTAAGTGCCATCGAGTCACTTCTGACTAATAGCAAGGATTGGCTGGTGAGCTTGAATAATAAATAATAATGAGTCAAAAATTATGTGCACTCTGATTATATTAACATGCCTGACCACGTCCACAGCTGATGACAACATTGAGCATGGATGTGAAGTGATTCTGTCGAACAGATGTGTGACAGTGGATTATGTGCTAAATTGTTAGCAAACCAGACCTGGCTCTGCTTATGAAATAACCCACAACAAAGTTGGGTTTCAAAAAGTTTGTGCAAGATGGGTACTGCAACAACTCACAGAAAAGCATAAACAGAAGCGTTTGGACACCGGCAAGCAAAATTTGAACCGATACTTGAAGAAAGGTAAAAATTTCTTTTAAAAAATCATTACTGGTGATGAGACATGTATTCACACTAGGAGTCTGCGAGTAAACAGCAGGGTATGTAATAGAAACATCTTCAATTGCCAACGAAGAAGAAGTTCAAAAGTCAACCATCTGCTGGAAAACTGATGCTTACAGTTTTCTGGGATTCTCAAGAGCCAGTACTGGAACACGGTCAGGAAAAAGGCTCAACAACAGTGCTCATTACAGTGAGATGCTCACTGAAGAGCTGAAGCCTAAACTTTAGATTAAATGCAGAGGATTGCTATCCAAGGGCGTTGTGATCTTGTGTGACAATGCATGTCCTCACTTATCTGCCCACACTGTTGACACTCTATAAAAACTGTGTTTTGAGGTGTTAAAGCATCCTCCCTATAGTCCTGATCTTGCCGCATTGGACTTTGACCTGTTTGGTCCCCTGAAAGCATCCCTTCAAGGATGAAGATTCACCCCTGATAAAGAAGTGGAGACAGCAGTGCATTCGTGACTCACAATTCAACTGAAAATACTTTTTAATAAAAGGAATATGAACGCTTGTTGACACGTTGACAAAGTATATTGAAAAGCAAGTATATTATGTCGAAAATTATGTATTAGTCTTTTCTGAGAGTTGATGAAAATAAATTCTACATCCAGAGTGTGAATAAATTTTGACTCACCCACATAGTTACAAACCTTCCAGGTGAAAAGGAAATTAAATAGAGTTCAAGAAAAAATAACAATAAATAAATACCAAACTGTAACCCTCAAACTACACTAAACCTTACTCCTAGCCCTAGCTTAGCCCAACCTCTATCCTTAACACTAATGCTAGTCCACTCTTAACCCTACCATACGAAGTCCTGAAGCGATCTACCCCTGACCTAGCCATAGTCCTAACCCTAGTTCCTTATTCCTACTCTGCCCCCAAATAAATAAAAGTAAAGGTGTGACTTTCAACTACCGTATTTCCAAATAGTCACATTCATAGGCACCAGGAGTTAGGACTTTACTATCTTTTTTTGAAGGGGAACAATTCAATCCATAACAGTTGGCATTCCTTTTTTTTTTTTTTTTTTTTTTAATGATAGTGTGGTTTTGATTAAGGTTTACACAGCAGTTTAGGTTCAATTAAACAATTTCTAAAAACTTTCTCCTTATTTCCCGCTGGTTTCTCTATTTTCATTAATCTAGTTTAACTCTACCTCCTTACCTTCTCATCTTTGTTTTAAAGTAATTGTTGACCAGTTGATCTTATACATATGATTTTGTAAAGAAGCAATATTCAGGGTGATATTCTTTTTATTTGGAGCCAATCTGTTACTTACCTATGGCAGTAAAATTGTTTAGTGCATTGGATTTTAGGAATACTGAGTAGGATAAGACAGTCCACGGGAGTCTGATTATCTCTCCATAAACTAAAGATACAAGTCAGCACCTCAAAAGCTAAGGAGCTTATCTGAGATCATGGCGGCCACAATAAGGTACTCTCCCACCCAGGCCTTCCCCAACTCATACCTGTCTGGGAAACAAGCCTGTGGTGCTGAGTCTCATGCTTTAAAGTGCTATAAAATATAAAATGAAAAGCCTTACTACTGTTAGATCTCCAGACGATGTTACATTTGCCTTTGCAGGTTTCTTCCTTTGCAGTTTGTGACTCTTTCTGTGCATGATGCTAAGAACATGCGCCTCAAAGTAAAGCTGGTGAGCGGTCGAGCCTACTACTTACAGCTCTGCTCCCCCGTGAATAAACAGGAAACCTTATTTTCTCAATGGGTGGATCTCATTGCCTTGCTGAATCAGGAGAAAAACAAAATTTCCAAAGTGTCAGAATTCTCAAGTCTCTCAGAAATCACAAACAGCACAGAAATCACAGGCTCTCTGGACATCATGGATATTGCCGCCATCACCGCTTTGCAGACTCCGTATGTGTACCAGTGCGCAGACGCCACATGTGGCATGGAGAGTGTGGATTTCTCAGAATTCACAGATGTCACCGACGTCACGGACGTCACGGATGTCCCAGAAACCGAGACTACAGAGTTCCCCGATGTAAGAATTGTCACAGAAGTCACAGAAGTTATAGACATCTCTGATGAACCAAACGTCTCAGAGGTCACAGTGGTGTTTGAAAACGACGACATACGCCGGGCCAAACTAGAGGAAAAGGTAAGTGACATGGAAAATTATATTATTTTAAAAATTATTGAATTTTTTATAGGTTTTATTTTTTAGGGAGGTTTTCGTTGTACAGAAAATTGTACAGGAAGTACAGAGAATTCCCATATAGCCTTTCCCCCACATGTCCCTCTTTCCTGCATACAGTTTCCCCTGTAAGTAACATGTTACATTCCTGTTGCACATTTATAATTGATGAACCAATATGGATAATGTTATTGTTAAACAAAGTCCATAGTTCACAAAATACAGCCAGAACGCTCCTTTGAAGCCAGAATGGCAAGACTTTGTCTCTTATACTTTGGACACATTAGCAGGAGGGACCTAGAGAAGGACATCGTTCTTGATAAAGTAGTGGATCAGAGAAAATGAAGAAGACCTCCAACTAAATGAATTAGCACAGTGACAGCAGCAATGGGCTCAAGCGTCACAATTGTGAGGATGGCACAGGACTGGGCAGTGTCTTGTTCTGTTGTGCATAGGGTTGTTGTGAGTTGGCACCAACTCCACAGCACCTAACAACAACAAGTAGTTTACATTAAAGTTGACTCTTTTTGCTGTACAATCGATGAGGTTTGGCAAATGCCTAATGTCATGTGTCTACCATTTCAGTATCATACATAAGCTGAGAGAGCTTCAGAAAGTTTATGATAGGGAGCCCTACTAGTGTAGTGAGTTTATCATTGGGCCACTAACCACAAAATGTTCATGGACAAATTCTATTATCTTTTAACGCCACTTTTCCATGAACTTTTTATAGCCCCCTCATATTTTCACTGCCCTATTCATCCCTCTCCCCCTTCCCCTGAATCACTGTCAACCACTGATCTATATTTTTGCCTTTTCTAGAATGTCATATACTTGAAATCACAGTACATAACTTTTTCAGTCTAGCTTCTTAGCAGTTTGCATTTGAAGTTCCTCTATGCTTTCTTGTGACTTAGAGCTCATTTCTTTCTACTGCCAAATAATACTATATTGTGTGGATGTACCATGGCTAGGTAATCTACTCAGTAGGTATTAAAGGACATCTTGGTTGCTCCCAATTCTTGGTTGGTCTTTCATTCTTTAATAGTCAAGAACAAGAGTGATTACAAAGTTGATTACCAAAATGCTATGGGAACTACTCTGTGTTTAATAATGAGATTCCATCCCTCGGAACCTGCTGTCAAATTATTATAAGATGTCCCTAAAAAGGAATGACCATCCTTGCCATCAAACGTTACCCATTATCAGAAAATTATTGTCTAATGGAAATAAGTTTGGATTATAATTAGAAGACCTGGGTTAGAATTTTACTGTACTGTGTATTCGTTGTGTGACTTTGGACTAGTCACTGAACCTAAAAAGCATTTATATATATTGCAAGAGATGTTTTAAGATTTAAATGTTTATAAAAGTACCGTGAAGGATGAAATATAGGTAAAGATGAGGTTGGAAGTAGGAAAATTAAAAAATTGAAAGAAGTACATCACTTAAAAAAAAAAAAAAAAGGCCAGAAAAAACACAATGCCAAAGAATGGTTAATTCAATTGGCTTGAGCAAAAAAGCATGTGGAGAACATATTAAAAGGTATGACTGAAAAGTTGCTTGCAACCATTGAGTGTCAAATTAGGAGGTTTGGACTTCACTCTTTGGGAAAGTTTTATCAACACCAAAGGCTTCTGTGTAAGAGACTGAAAGAAGTGTGTTTTTTAAACATCAATCTGATGACAGGTTAGATTGTAAGTAAAGAGATCAATTTGAAAACTACTGCTGGAAAACCTCCAGCAAGATCACAATAAAAAGGGCAAAAGATATGGAATAATGTTTCACAGAAGAAACAATTGGTAAGTCATGAGAAAAAAAAAGTTTAACCTGACTAGAAACTAAAGAAATGAATATCTAGAAAAAAAAAATGTATCTTTTAAAAAAATTATTAATTCAACATTAGTAAAGGTATGGTGAACTGGGTGAGAACTGGTACAGACATTCTTGAAATCATAATGAATCAAGAACCTTAAAATAATTTTATACAAAGAGAAGTGGCAAGATGGCAGAGTAGAGAGTAACACTGTGCAGACCCTCTGCAACTAAAGATACAGAAAACCAAAAGAAATGGATGCAGAGGATAGTCCTGGAACCCTGAACTTCAGATGAAGGGATAGAGAAGTGGATAGAATGCTTAATAAGAGAGGAAGCTGAATAGACGCAGTAAAAAAACGGAGACAGAGTGGTGAACTACACTGGCCAACCAGACATGGCACAGCCATTTTAAACCTCTGTGAGCAGCTTCAAAAACAAGACAGTATATTGATATTACAGAAACATGCTGGTGACTCACAGAGATCAAGGGGACAGCCTCTGTGCCCATACAGCCCAGCCACAACTGTACCATCTACCCACCCACTAGACAAGAATCAGTAGCAATTGCTATACACCTGATCAACAACAACAACCAGCATCAGTCAAACCCACACTGAACTGAGCAGCACAATGAACAGAGAATGGTGTACACACTTCCATCTCCTAATCATACCCACCAGGAAGCAGTTGGTGAGTGCCTAAGAACACACAACACACAATCATCAAATTAAGTACTAATACAACAGCACCACAATGTCTTGGAAACAACAGACAATTTATGTTCAGATGAAGAAAATAAAGACAGAGTGACTTAAACAAGTGACCAAGAGACAGCTGGAAAATGTTTTTCAGGGGAAAAAAGACATTTGAACTATCTGAAAAAGAATTATATCTAGGTACTTCCAAACAAGATACTTTTTAACAGAAAGGTTGAGGAAAACAAGGAAGAATTCTAGAAAACACTACAGGAACAAACAAACAAAATAGATAAAAGATTGGAGATCCTGCAAATAGAAATCAAGAAGATTAATAATGAAGTTTCAGAGATGGACAATACAAAGGAGTATAATTGAATCAATGGAAGGCCAAATTAGTGAACTTTAAGATAAAAATATCTCAATATTATAATAAGTCAGAAGAAAGAAAGAAACAATCCATAGAGAGCCTAGGATTCATGTGGGGCATCATAAAGAGGAGCAATTTACCTGTGATTGGAATTCCAGAACAGGAAGACAACAAAGAAAAGCACAGAAAAGATAAACAAATAGTTGTTCACAGAAAACTTCTGTAACATCATGAAAATAAAGAAGATGAACATTCACGAAACTGAACAAAATCCATACAGGATAGACCTCAAAGGAAGTCAGTGACATTGTTTACATTCTTCAAGTTGGATAACTGTCTAGCTACCTTTTTCTAAACTATTTCAGCACCATTAACGTAGTCACTGCCCCTAAGCTTCTCACTAACCTTTTGAAATACTGTCATTCTTTTGATCCCACATACATAACTCTTTGAGAAAGCACAATGCTCAAGGCAGACATACTTCACTAATTAGGTTAAACTGTTGTGTGGTTCAAAGTTGACTTCCAGAAAAGTTTTGGTTTGAGGTTTAAGGTTTGAAAATTAGCTCTGGACAATAGTTTCAGGTGTATATCTATCCCCAATAACTCCAGAAACAACATGAGTTTTAAATGTGTCACAACACGTGTGTCAGGCAGCAGTAGGGCAAGTCCCAGGCCTACACTGAGAGCCTCCTTCCAAAGCCAGCTCTTCCCAATGGCCACACAGCCCTCCCCCCGTCATTTTTGCATGTATGCACTCTTTATCAAACATTGCTCCACAAATTATCTACTTCTGTATGACACTCTTTTATTACCTGATTTGCTGTTGCTTATTATTTTCGAAGGCTAAAGATGAAAACATTCTGAGGACTGGGTGTCTACGTGATATAAAAACTAAGAATGAGCCCAAAGGACCCTCCAAACATGTCACCATCTCAAACATAACACTGACTTTTGAAGGTGAAAGATGTTTTCAGACTACTTTGACTCCAGAAAACACTGAAGCAGATATATGTGAAGAGATGGATGACAAAATCTCTGAAGAAAAGACGGATTTAAAAAATACACCTCTCAAGGCTGAAGAATCCAGGTATGCAGACAGAGAAGTACTAAGAGGTTAACAGCAATGTAAAGTCACATGTATTCTATAACCCACTGCCATCAAGTTGATTCCTACCCGCAGAGACACTATAGGACAAAGTAAGAAATGCTCCTTCGGGCTTCTGAAACTGCAACTCATTATGGGAACACACAGTCTAGTCTCATCTTTCTCCCTCCGAGTGGCTGTTGGGTTAGCAGCCCAACACTTAATTCACTGTGCCACCATGGATTCTATGTTCTTCACCATCTGTGTAACTCAGGCATCTGCCAGTTTAAGATTTTCAGAGACAGAGGCAGTGTCATTTAATGATGAGATTGTTGTTAGTGTCATTGAGTCAGTTCCAACTCATAGTGACCCTGTATTGGGTTTCCAAGGAGCAGCTGGTAGGTTTGAACTGCCGACCTTGTGGTTCGCAGTCCCATGCTGATCCTATAGCTCCACACCAGTCAACTCTTAATAATCTGCATTTGATTCAAATATGGCTAATTTTTCATTTTCACACCAACTTCGCTAACCATCCAGTCATCATTCTAGGCTGCCTGCCTGATGTCAGTGGTATGGACTTCAGAAAACTTAACAGACTCACAGGATCCCCTACAGATTAAAAACTTGTTGCCTTCTGACCCTATAGTACAGAGTAGAACTGCCTCATAGGGTTTACAAGGTTGTGATCTTTATGGAAGCAAACTGCCACAGCCTTCTCCACAAGTTGATAGGTTGAACTGGTTAAACCAAGTGCTTAACCATTGTGCCACCAGGTTAAAAATTGTAGCCTTGGAAACCCAGTGGTGGTGGTGGTTATGTGTCATGGAGTCAGTTCTGACTCATAGACACCCTGTATAGGGTTTCCGAGGCTATAAATCTTTATGGGAGCAGAAAACCTCATCTTTCTCCTGTGGAACTTCTGTTCGTTTCAAATTGCTGAAGTCGAGGTTAGCAGCCCATATCATAACCACTATGCTACCAGAGCTCCTTTGGAAACCCAATAGGGCAGTTCAACTTAGTCATATAGGGTTTCTATGAGTTGGAATCAACTCTACAGTATTACATGAGTAGATCACCAAGTGTTTTCTTTCTGTTACTAGCTAAGCACTTAACCATTGTGCCACCAGGACTGCTTATTTTGGAGCTAGGGGTATTTAGCTCAAGAATGATGGTTTAAAAGTGCCTTTTGTGATTATTTTGTATTTACCTAAATTTCCCACTTAATAATTTCACAATCTGAAAAAAAAGTCATCATTTCCATTGCTTAATTGTTAGCTGACTGTCCTTCTTCCAAAACAGATTTGTTTGTTCTTCTGGCAGACCCTGGCACATTCTGTAATCTTCTCCCACACCATATTTCAAAGGCATCAATTCTTGTTCAGTATTCTTATTCATTGTCCAGCTTTCCCATGCAGAGGTTGTTGTTGTTGTTATTGTTAAGTGCTGTCCAGTGGGTTCCATATCATAGCAACTCTGTATAGAGTTTCCAAGGAGCAGCTGGTGAGTTTGATCTGCCAACCTTGCGGTTCAAACAGACCTTGCAGTCCAGTGCATATCCTACAGTGCCACACCAGGACAATTTAAAATGCCACAGTTTCAGTCAGACACACCTTAGTCCTCAAAGTGACATCTTTGCTCTTGAATACTCTAAACAGGTCTTTTGCAGCAGATTTGCCTAACGCAATACAGCATTTGATTTTATGACTGCTACTTCCATAAGTGTTGATTGTGGAGCCAAGTAAAATGAAATCCTTGACAATTCCAGTCTTTTCTTCATTTATCATGATGTTGATTGTTGGTCTAGTTGTGAGAATTTTTTTTTTTTTAATTTTGAGGTGTAATTCATACTGAAGGATGTGTAATCATCAATAAGTGCTTCATCAATAAATAGTCATCAATAAGAACTTCAAGTTCTCCTTATTTTCAGCAAGTATATCAGTTTGTTAATGAACTTCCTCCAATTCTGATGCCACATTCTTCTTCATATAGTCCAGCTCCTTATATTGTTTATCATAGAAATTGAATAAGTCTGGTGAAAAGACATTACCCTGATGCACTCCTCTCCTGGTTTTAAATTATGCATAATTTCTAGTCTAACGACTGCATCTTGGTTTATGTATAAATTTTGCACAAGTACAATGTACAGTTCTGGAATTCCCTTAATTCTCAATGTTATTCATAATTTGTTATGATCCACATAGTTGAATGCCTTTGCATAATCAATAAAACACAGAAAAATAGTTTTCTGGTATTCTCTGTTTTCAACCAAAATCTGTCTGACATCAGCAATGATATCCCTTGTTCCACTTCCTCATATAAATCCAGCTTGAATTTCTGGCAGTTCCCTGTGAAATGATGTAAACGTTTTTTTAGTTATCTTCAAAACAACTTTACTTGTGTGTAGTGGAGGTGGTGGTGTGTCATCAAGTTAGTTCTGACTCATATCAACTCTGTACAGGGATTCCAAGACTGTAAACCTTACAGGAGCAGAAAGCCTCATCTTTCTCGTGTGGAGTAGCTGATGGACTCGAACTGCTGACCTTGTGGTTAGCAACCCAGCATGTAACCCACTATCCCACCTAGGCATAATCTACTTTACTTGTATGCAGTATTAATGATATTGTTTGATTACTTCTGCATTCTATTCCATCGCCTTTCTTTGGAATGGGCACAAATACGGATCTCTCCCAGTCAGTTGGCTAGTTAGCTATTTTCAAAATTTCTTGGCATAGACCAGTGAGCACTTTCAGCGTTGCATCCCTTTGTTCAAACATTGGTGTTCCGTCAGTTCCTGGAGCCTTGTGTTTTGCCAGTGTCTTCAGTGCTGCTTAGACTTCTTCCTTCAATACACATACGTTCTTTTTCAACTGCTACCTGCTGAAATGGTTAAACATTGACCAGTTCTTTTTGGTACAGCTACTGTATTCCTTCTATTTTCTTTTGAAGTTTCCTTCATCATTCAACATTTTCCCCATAGATAGAATCTTTAAATATTGCAACTCAAGACTTCAGTTTTTTCTTAAGTTCTTTCAGCTGGAGAAATACTGAGCATGTTCTTCCCTTTTGGTTTTCTAACTCCAAGACTTTGCACGTTTCAGTATAAGTACTTTGTCTTCTCACGTTGCCCTTTGAGATCTTCAATTCAGTTCTTTTAACTCATTACTTCTTACTTTTGCTTTAGCTTTTCTGTATTCAAAAGCAAGTTTCAAAGTCTCTCCTGATATTCATTTTGTTTTTTTCTTTCTTTCAAGTCTTACTAACATTTTTCTTTTTTCATGTGTTATGTCCTTGTCATGTGTCTCACTTATCAACTGGTCTTTAGTCATTAGTGTTCAAGTCATCAAATCTGTTATTGAGATGGTCTCTAAATTCTGCTGGGATATACTCAAGACTGTACTTTGACTCTTGTGAACTTGCTTTCATTTTCATCAGCTTCCACTTGAACTTGCATATGAGTAATTGATAGTCTGCTCCACAGTTGTTCCCTCGCTTTGTTCTGACTGATGATATTAAGCCGCTCCATTGTCTCTTTCCACAGATGTGATCAATTTGATTTCTGTGTATTCTAACTGGTGAGGTCCAGGTGTATAGTCACTGTTTATGTTGTGGAAAATATTTTCAAAAAAAATAAGTTGGTCTTGCAAATTCTATCACACCGCCAATGTTTCTATCACCAGAACATATTTTCTTCTAGAGAAAAGAAACACATAAAATACAACAACAACAACAAAAATTTTGGTTCTAAGTAATCCTTTTAAGCCCAATTTAATCTGCCATGGATTTGTTTTGTTGCCTATTTGCATAAGAAGCATAATTAGAGTCTAATTTGAGAGTATTAATTATGAACAAAAGATGTAATAGCTAAGACCAGAATGAATAAAGCATTCACTGATGGTTTATTCCTGGGACATTTATAGGATTTAAGTCAGGATACTTGGAGGTTGGTAATAAGCTCTCGATATGCTTTTCTTCCTCAAGACCAGGGGTTTCAGTGACACTTTATAATTGTATACTTTGGAATACTGAATGAAAAAAATTTAGGCAATAACCTTATTAAATATTCTACCTTCAATTTTCCTAGTCTTTAGAATGTAAACTGTTCTATTTAAATCTGGAAGAGTAAAAGACTGTGAAGACTTGCATTTTTCTAAAGTGTCACAATAGATCTTTAGGAAGTAAAGGATTGACTTTATAAAACATTTATATTCTTTCTAATAGTTTGACAATAGTGCCACTTTGACTCTTCTTTTGCTTGTTTAAATGACATTTTACTATAACTTGCGCCTATTTTTAGAGTACTTTTACTTGACATTTCTTAACCTCATGAAAACTTTAATCATTAAGTTCAATTTTCATTTAAATCGCCAGACCCATTTCGTGAAGGCTATATTAATATTTGGAGTCGTTGGGTGGCACAGTTAATTCATTTGGCTACTAACCAAAAGGTTGATGATTTCTTGTTCATCTTGTACCTTAGAAGAAAGACCTGAAGATCTGCTTCCAAAATACCAGCTACTGAAGCTTCTATGGAGCACAGTCACTTCCTGAGAGGTCCATTTTAGAACTTGAACTGAGTATATATATACTCGTTATTGCTCTTAAGTGCCGTTGAGTCTGTTCCGACCCATAGTGAACACTGTATAGGGTTTCTGAAGAGTGACTGGTAAGCTTGAACTGCCAACTTTGCAGATCAAATCAACTTTATAGTCCAGCGCATTAACCCAGGCCACACCAGGCCTAGTATATACACTGTTGTTGTTTTTGTTGTTAAGAGCTGTCGAGTCAGTTCCAACCCAGAGCGACCCTGCATAGGGTTTCTGAGGAACAGCTGGTGAGCTTGAACCGCCGACCTTGCAGTTTAAACAGCTCTGCAGTCTGGCACGTTAACCTACAGCGCCACACCAGGATATACACTAGGACCTCCCCGCCTTAGATTGTGTCCTATATTTATCTGAAGGAGCTCTGGTAGCATGTTGTTGTTGTTGTTGTCAGGTGCCATTGAGTTGGAACTGACTCATAGCGACCCCATGCACA